CTCCGAGCCCAAAACTCCAGCTTAGGGCTCTGTGGAGCTCTGGGAAATGGGGAGCCAAACCTCATCATGCTGCACCGAGGCACAACTTGCTGCCTTCCTCCTCCTGGATGGAGATGCAAGGCTGAGACAGAAACAGCCTCTTGTGTTGACAGTGAGAAGCCTCCTGGCTTTGGAGTCTGTCTGGGTGGATCATTTCCCCTTTCCCGGTGGGTTTTGTCGCTGCCTGAACCACTCTGCTGCTTGTTCATCCCAGGCTTTTGTTTTGAGGAGGGGGCAGGAAGGAAGGAGAGATGAAGACTGTGCATTGCCTTGAGGTTTCAGAGAGGTGGAGCAAGGAGGGAGGTGCTGATTTGGTTTTGCATCATGATCAGCAATCAAAGATTTGTGTGGCTGTGAGCTCCAGCCACCTGCTGGGCCTGCAGCTGGAGCGAGGAATTTCCAGTGGGGGGAAAAGGAATCAGGGCTTTGCTGTGTGTATTTCTTCAGGAGACACTCAAGGAAAAGCGTGGACTGAGCAAGTTCTGCCTTGGGAAAGAGCCAGTTCCCAATTTTCCCCATGATGGGAAGCGAGTGTGGATGTTTTCCCTGCATGTGCATCACCTGAGGGTCGTTAATTAGCGGGGGGTGCTCATCATTTTAATCCAGCGATTATCAATAAGGACCGAATCAGCTTGGACCCAGGATTTATTAAGCCAGGCACCTCCAGTGAATCAGGAGGGCCTGATCCTGCCGGAGGGGGGTGAGGACCAGCTTGAGGGATGTCAGAGGAGCTGTGCTGTGAGATTGTGGCTCGGCTCAAAGGCAGCTGCACCGTCAAACAAGTGCCAATCAAACGGTCTAAATGAGTCTGGATGGAGCGTCTGCCCGCACAAACCCCGTCAAACTTGTTTCTCTTCATGTGTCAGGAAAATGGGTCTCAGTCAACTCGGCAGAGTTTGTGCTGAGAAATCACAACACATCCCGGGGCCTGAGTCAGACGCTCCCCAGGGGTTACCCCTCCAAGAGCCCCGGGCAGGTTAGTGGCGTTTGCTCCCACATTTTGTTCAAATGACACTCGAAATGTTGTAGCCCCCCCACCCCAAAGCACTGGGGACATGCTGCTGATGGGAGGTCAGAGAGCCACCAGGTCCTGGGGCTCAGTTCACTTTTCTAATCTCTGAAAGCACAGAATACTGGGATCGTGGAACGGTTTGAGTCGGAAGGGACCTTAAAACTCGTTCAGGGCAGGGATACCTTCCACTAGAGCAGGTTGCTCCAAGCCCCACCTGCAGGTCTTGTGTGGCGAGGTGGCACTTTAATCAACAGTACTGATGAGGCTGGAGACCCCAGGACTTGTCCTCATGTCCATGTGCGTCCCCTTCCTCTGGACAATCAGGATGGTGCAGACCCCTCTGTGCTCCCCTCACTGTCCCCAGTTTGGGGACGAGCAGGACGAGGTGCTCGTATGAGGGGCACGTTTTGGTGGCCCTGTGGTCCCAAACTCGTGGGCAACCAACAGTCCTTTGTCACTCCAGCACAGGGACACCAAGGCTATGTTGTCCCCAGCTGGGACACTGAACTGATGTGGTTTAGGTATCCAGGAGGTGTCGAGACGTAATTTTGTTCAAAAGCAGCAGAGAGGCTCAGCAGACCCAAATCTGACCCTCGTGGATCTTGAAAGACCATTTCACTGGCAGGCAGCTCAGGTCTGGGCTCCCTCACGCAGAAACCCCAGCACTGGATCATCTTGGTTCCTGCCACACTGGAGGGACTGCTGGTGAGCTCCCAAAATACCACGCTCGGCTGGGGGATGAAAACCGTGGAGCTGGGAAAGCAGCAGCACATTAGTACTGTTTATTAGGGACAGCAAATTGTGCCAGGAAAGACTACACACACAGCAGCTAATGATAACATTATGCACATTCACTTAGTAGCTAATTAATCTCTTCGACTTTCCTAATGTACGAAACGGAGCCTTGGGTTTGCGAGAACAACCCCGACCGTTTCGCATCCCTGATTTCCTGTAATTGGGGGAGTGGAGGGAACAGGGAGCGCGGAACCCGCCGCACACATCAAGTTGTTCACCTCGGCAGATAATAATAATAATAACGAGACGACCGTCTCCTGTAGTATTTAATTAGAAATGTCGCAGCTAATTGATTTCTTGGATATGTTAATTAAGAAATAATGAGGACCAGGTTGCGGCGAAAAGGTGCCAGCGAGAAGTTTGGAGTCCCTCTCTCCTGGAAGACGTGCCTGTTGGCTGCTCCCCGAGCCGGCGGGGGGGACAACCAGGGGACAACCCCGGGGTTGTGCCACCCGCATCCCAAACCTCGGGCACAGCTCAGCTCCCTCCGTTTTTGCTCGTTGCTCATTTTCCTGCCCTGCATCCCGGTGTGCGTGCCCAGCTCCTGGCAGGGTGGGCAGCAGGGCACCCCCATGGGTGGGATGTGGGATAACCTGGCAGTGGCTGGGTGCTGCCACCCTGGGAAAAGCATGCTGGCGAATCTCTACCAATGCCACGTAGCCCGAGAGGTGTTGGTGTCCCCTCCTCTTCGGCTGGCTCCTCTGGGAGGGCTGGGATGGAGATCCAGAGCCTGGGATTCCCTTTGGAGGAGCACGGGGATTCCCGGAGTGCTGTGAAGAACCTTTGGGCAAAGGTTTTTGGGGTACAAAAGCTCGCCTGGGAAGCCGGCCTGGCTCTGGGAGCATTCCCAGTGCTGGATGCGGAGGCTTGGAGTGGTCCTGGCGGTGGGAGATGCCCCCAGCTGCAGGCATGTCCCCAGCTTGCTTTAGGAAGCCTCCGCTTTTGGCTTCTCCCATCCCCTTTTTTATGGCTTATTTTGCGCGTGGCATCTCATCCCCCCGATGTGAGTGCACCTTATAACAGCAAATCCCTCGGGATGTGGAGAGGGGTCACCTGCCGGCACTGGTACGTCTTCCAGTGGTCCCTCCACAGCATCCCCAAGGGTGTGGGCACCCCTGGGCACCCCCAGGAACACCCAGAGACCCCCCAGACCCCCCCAGGAACACCCAGAGACCCCCCCACCGCGCCCTCTGGTTCTTTTTAACCTTCTCGGTGGAGTCACCGACCGCCACACTTGGTGTAACACTCGGATCTGCCTGGAATAAAGGAATTTAAACGTAGCTGCTGCGCTCCCTGTGGATTTCTAGTGGGAAGGATGGTGGGGATGTGGGGATTTAGGGGCTGGTTTGACAGGGAAGAAGCTGTCAGGGGTGGGGATTTCCCCTGGAGCAGGAGGGGATGTGGGGAGGGGGTTTTCCCAGAGCAGGAATTATTACATCTTTGTGTGTGTGTGCATAATTATACATTATACATATAGGATCACAAAGTATGTATAATGTTAAAACACACAATATATGGATAATTATGTGTATAATATAATTATAACCTAGTAGGCATAATAAAATATGTAAGTGAATAGACATATTTTAAAATGTGTAATTAGATATTACGTATAATATACAGAAAACATAAAATACCATATATATTTTATATGCACATATATATTATATAATATATAAAACATATTTTATATATATTATATGCACAAATGCCTGAATGGATTTTGTGCATATACACTCTTGAATTATAGAATGTAAATCACAAACTAGAATATACATGTTACATACATATTTATATGTATATACTTTGTTCATATATATGTGTATAAGTATATATGTGCATATGGTATACTTTATATAAAATGGTTGTATTTGTGTGTGTATATTTTGTATTTATAAATAAGTATATATTTTATATTTATAAATAACTATATAATATTATATATGTAATGTACAATATCTATATACTGTGTAATATGTTTATCTATTTATAAATATACACACATATATACAAATACAATAATTTTTTCTATAAATATATATTTTATATATTTTTATCTAAGAATTATATATTATATATTAGAGAAAAATATATAAAATATGTTAATATTATTATTTATAAAAATATATAAAATATTTTAAGAGTTAAGTGTCTTTTCCCCCAAATTCCAGGAAGACATAGGAAGAACACCTAACCTTTATCCCCCAAGAACCCTCCCAACCTCCCAGGTCCCTCATTCCTGGGGGGGTCCCAGGAGTGCCTGGGGGCCCGTGGGGGGTCCCTTCCCCAGCCCTGGGTGCCCCATGGCTATGGGGGGCATCCCCCTAGGGGATATTCCCGGGAGGATCCAGAGGGGAGCAGAGCCGTTTGGAACCTCTCCCGACATTCAATCCCCAGCACAGGTGTGGAGCTGCCGGCCCCGGAGCCGCCGCATACCTGTCATACCTGCGGCCACCCCTGCCATACCTGTGGCCACCCCGGTGGTGGCCCCAGGACCCCCGAGGGAGACCCCCCATCCTCACCTCCCCTACACCCACCAAGCTGTCCCAGCTCCATCGCTCCCAGCCCTTCCCAGTGACACCCATCCCACAGGATGGGAATGGGGACAGTCCCCTTGTGTCTCCTCCCCCCCCACGAGGCAACCAGACGGGTTTCCAGCACATTTTGCCTTTTATTACCACGCAGGAACACACACTACAGCTGCTGATACCTACGACAGGGAACGCACGCACACACGGGCACGGAGAGAACAGAATAAATTAAAAATAAACCGTGTAATAAAAAAAAAAAAAAAAAAAAAAAAAAAAAAAAAAAAAAGATGAAACGACAACGGGGATGGGGGCGGTGGGGGGGGGGAAGAAAGGTGAAAAATCATAATAAAAAAGGGGGAAAAAATGAAGAAGGGGTTGGGCACACAGAGCTTCTGGGGCAGGACGTGTGGATTTGATCTCATGGCTGACGGGCGCCTTCCAGCGCGTCCCGGGGCCGCCCCGGCAGCCTCCTCCTCTTCCTCCTCCTCGGCTCGGCGGCGGCGGGAGCTTCCCGAAAAGCACCTCCGAGGGACACCCCGGGGGGTTGGCCGGGGGTCCCCGGTGAGGCCGAGGCGCCCCCGAGGAAAGGCCGCGGGCAGCGGCGGCGGCTTCGGCCACGTCCCTACAGTGCGTTGGGTGCCGCCGCCTGTGTCCCCCCTGCCTCCCCCGGGTTCCTCTCCATGGTGGCTGCACCAGGAGCCTGTCCCTGCCTTAGTCGTTGGAGGTGACGTCGATGTCTTCTCCGCTCGACTGCTTGGTGGCGAGGCGCCATCGGTTGATGTGGTGGGAGCCTTTCTTCTTCTGGTCCGAGTCGGGGCCTTCCTCCTCCAGCTTCTGCCGTTTGTATTTCGTCCGCCTGTTCTGGAACCACACTTTCACCTGGGAGAGAGGGAGACACGGGGTGCTTGTTTGGGGTCCTGGCAGAGCTGGCCCGGTGCTGGGACCCGGGAGCAAGCTCGGTTTTCCTCAGGGACCGGCAAGAAATCATTCCCTGTCCTTCCAGGAGCTCCTTCCAGGGGCGCTCCCACAGCCACCCTGCCCGGCCTCAGTTTCCCATGGCAAGGTGGGACAGGGGGGTATTGTAGGATTAGGGATGCTGCCACCTCACAGCTCCACTTCCCCGCACATTCCTGCCTTGGAGAAGCCCAGGGGGGAGAAGGACACTTGGTCACACCTGGGACACGGTGAGAACAGGCACAGGGGACCCTCATGACAGCACCATCCCCCTGGAGTCTGGGCTGGGCCTGGATCAGCATGGAATGGTGGGAGAAGCTAAACCAGTCACAGGTGTCAGGATGTCATGGGCACAGTGGGATGACCACATGGGGCAACACTCAGAGCCACCCTCATCCCTCCAGCCAGGACCATAATTACAATTATCCATCATTAATTTACCACATGTGTGTTTCAGGAAACCTTTTCCACCCTGATGGTGGTCAAACACTGTCCCAGGAGCCTGGAGAGCCAGTGGGGGAGATCTATCCCGGGGGAGATGGATCCCTTCCTCCTCACTTGCCTGGGGCCTCCAAGCATCCTGCTTCGACCCCAAATATCCCTGATGCCAGGGCTGGAAGCACGGGCTGGGTTGGGGGATGGATACACCAGCATGGACATGGCAGCACGGGCACAGGGATCCATTTGGGATGCTGAAAGCACCCACGTGGCCAGGGATGCTGCAGCTCCCAGGGGGGATGCCAGGCAGCCAGGGATGTGGGACGCTGCAGTGAGGGGTGTGGGATGCCAGAGGCAGCGGTGTGGAATGCTGCTCCAGGGGGGTGAAGGATGCTGATGGAAGTGGCGAGGAATATTACAGTCAGGGATGCAGGATGCTGCAGGCAGCAGTGCAAATGCTGCAGGCAGGGGTGAGGGATGTGGGATGGTGCAGAAAGTGGTGAGGGATGTGGGATGCTGCATCTGGGGATGAGGGATGCTGCAGGCAGTGATGAGGGATGCTGCAGGTGGGATGCAGGATGATGCATCCAGGGATGAGGGATACTGCAGGAAGCAGTGTGAATGCCCCAGGCAGCAATGCAGGATGCTACTGGAAGGGATTTAGGATGCTGCAGGGAGCTGTGCAGGATGAAGGATTCTGGATGGCAGTGGCGTGGGATGCTGCAGATGGGACACAGGATGCTGCAGCCAGTGGTGCAGGATGCAGGATGGCAGTGGTGTGGGATGCTGCAGGCACTACATACAGGATGATGCAGGCAGCGGTTTGGGGTGCTGTAGATGGGATCCCAGACGCTGCAGTCAGCTGTTTGGGATGCTGCAGCCGGCATCCAGGAAGAGGCAGGAAGGCTGTGGATGCCGCCCAGCTCCGGGCCAGCAGCACTAGGTGCCGCTGCTCGGCTGCCGCTGCCAGCCCAGCCCAGCCCAGCCCAGCCCAGCCCAGCCCAGCCCAGGCTGAGCTTTTCCCTGCTGGCAGTCCTGCAATCCCGCAGCCGCTGCCACAGCTCATCCCCCGGGATAATCACCCCTTTTCCTCTCTGCTCCGGAGCCTCCCCAGCGCTGCACGGGGCCGGCATTCCCACCTCTCTGTGTTCCCTGGGAGCAGCAGCGCCAGCCCTTGACTCGAAGGCTGCTCAGCCGATGGAAACAGCTGCTTTATGGCACCGGGATGTGTTAGAACCACCCCCTGCCCGGGACTCCAACCATTCTCTTTCCTACCTTTGGGGCATTCCCGGAACAATACCGAGTTGGCGCCTTCCATTCAACCACCGCAAAGCACTTTGCAAACTTTAATTAAAGCTCTCGGCCCTCTGGGAGCAGGGAAGTTGCCTTATCCCTAAATTATAGAAGGGGAACCAAAGGCATAAAGCAATTAAGATGCTCGAGTGAGGCTGTGTGGAAGGCAGGGGTGGGTGTGCAGTGGTTCTCCCCAGCTTGTCTCCTGCGGGATGAGGATCCCGTGCAATTCCCAACTGCCTCAGCTGTGGGAATGGGGATGTTTCCAGGCTGGATGGGCTCCCTGCCCCTTCCAATACTGTGTCTCTCACTCCAACAGTCCAGAAGCCACAATGAGAGGAGTGTGGGAACCTCACAGTGGGCAACTAGGGGATAAGCTGCCCCCTAGGATGCCTGGTCCTGACTCCAAGAGTAATTGGTTTAAACCCCTCAGCCCAGGGTTTTATCCCTTCCCAAACCCTCGACACATTAACCACTGGAATGCTGGGATTTTGTGCATCCAACTCCCGGGATGCTCCCGGGGTCCCTTCCCAGCCATTCCCCAGGGCTGGTTCTGCCCTCCAGAGTCACCACTGTGGGATAGGGATGGTCCCTGGATGGTTCCTGCATCTGAAACACAGCTCCCATTCATGGTTTTCCCTGCACGCTCCCACTCAACTCCCAGGACACCCCGCTCTGCTTCAGGAATGCCAAAAGCGCCCGGAGAACCAGCCCTGGCTGGAAGGTGACATTGCCACCACCACGCTGGGGACAATCCAAACCCAGTGGCTTCATGTGGAGCTTCCCCTGGACAGTGACCCAAACGCTGCCGAAGGCTGAGAGCAGCGGGATGGGTGTGGATGGTGACGGAGAGGGACCAGCCCTGGATCGCACGGTGACACCACCTGAGCCGTCACCCAAAGTGCCACCATCCCGAAAGGGCAGCGGAGCCTGTTCCTGCCATCCCAGCTGGGATTCCCCCTCTGAAAACACCCCAAAACTTTGAGGAGCTGGTTTTTGGGGACAGCCCCCAGGGAGGGGGGTGCTGCCAGCCCCGGGCTCTGCTCTGCAGCCGCTCTCTGGCCGTATCTGGGCCGTGCATCTTTCTCCTCCCCTGATTCCCAGGCATTCGCTCCATTAATTATTAATTATGGAGCGGCTGTGATGCCCATCCGGCCCCAAACCCCCAAAGCCATCCCTGCATGGATAATGCCAGGAGGGGACACTGGTGTATCCCATGCTTCCATAATCACCCTAAAGCTAGGAGGGGACACTGGGGTATAGGGTGACTCCACAGTCACCCCAAAGCCAGGAGGGAATCCTGGGATGTACAGCAACTCCATAATCACTCCAAAGCCGTGAGGGACACTGGGATATACAGTGACTCCATAATCACCCCAAAGCTGGGAAGGAACCCTGGAATATACAGAGCATCCATAATCACCCCAAAGTTTCCCTCTGGTAGGAGCCAGGGAGAGGCCTTTGCCTCGGGAATGCATATTTGCCCCACAAACTGCCGGGAATGGAGAGGCTCTGCCCCGAGATCCCGGCTGCATCATGGAAAATTAACTCAGGGAAGTGATTTCCCACCCCAATTCCCTCTTTTTTTCCCCCCAATCTCTTTTATTCTGTTGTTCCAAGGGCCTGTCTTATCCCAAATTAATGCAGCTCCTCAGTAGGAGGAAGGGTGGGAAGGGGTTAAACACCTGCACCCTTCCCCACCCCATATCCCAAGGCATTTCCTGATGCTGGGCAGGTACCTGTACCCTTTTCACCTTCCCCTGGGCTGCTCCAGGTGTTGCTCCCCGGCTGGGGGAACCCGGAGTGGGCACACCCCAAAGGGAAAAACTCTCTTTTCCAGGGGGAAAAGCAGCTGGCAGATAGGTGCAGGCACAGCCATAACCCACAGCCCCGTCTGGGAATGATCAAACCCACTCAAAAATGATACACCAGCCCAAAGTGTGGCTTTGGATGCGGGGCTGGGTGTCTGCTCCAGGTGAGAACACACCTGTGTCAGCCGCTGTCACACCGGGGATGTGTGTCAGGGATCAGGGGGGCTGGTTTTCCATGGAAATTTGATTGCATGGAGGATTCATCACTGAATATATTAATAATAATAATAATAGTAATAATAATAATAATAATATCCTGGTTTTGGCACAGCCACTGGTAACCTGCTATCCCAACCCCTCTAATCCCAGCCCTTGGATGCCTATCCTGCATCGCATCCTGATTATAATAATTCCACATATAGGAATTATTCCCCTCCAGGTAAATTTAAATCAGATTTTTTTTTTTTTTTTTTTTTTTTACTTTAAATTATTTCTCCAAAGCCACAAAACAAAAGGGAAAAAGCCCTCCCTGCTCCCTGCAAACCACTGCTGCCACTGGTAGGAGCCTGGTGCTGGTTCCCGGATGGATCCGTGGGAGCCTTTCCCAGCCCTCCCGCCGTCACCTGCGCTCGCTCCCTGCTTCCCAAAAACACGGAAACACCAGGCTACAAAACAATGCTGAGCCACACAAAAATACACTTTAAAAATATCTATATTGCCTCTTCCCATTTCTAAATCCCCACAGGGTTTAGGGACGGACGGCGCTGCTTTTTTCCCCAGTAAATCGCGTTATTGCCTGGAGGCTCCAGGCGCTGCTGGAAAAGGCCAGGGAATGGCTGAGCTCCCCCTCGGGGCATCCCACAGCTGCCCTTCCCGCCCAGACAAGTTGCTGGTTGTTCTTTGACCTTTGGGGTTTGTTCTTTTTTCCCCCTTTCACACCATTTCAGAGAGGAGAGGTGATGGAGGCAGCAGGATCGGAGCCTGCGTGTCACCGCCGTGCCCTGGGCTGGAGGGGTCAGGAAAGCATCGCCACCAGGATGTAAACACCCTCTGGATTTTGGGGGCTCGGTCCAGCCTTCCCAACATCCACACCTGCTCTTTCCCCGCTGTCCCCACACCGGTGACATTTCCCTCCCGGTAACTTCCCGCTCCCAGAGATGCATTTGGAGGTTTCGCTTGGCAGAGCCTGGGCGAGGAATGAGCCAGGCGGGTACTGGGAACACCCACGGCTCCAGCTTTAATTCCCAATTAAATTAAAGGATAAAAAAATACATTAATTCGGAATATGGGCCAAACTACCTCACCAGAATCTGGAGGAAACTTTCTCCAACCGCTCACCTACTGAATATTATGGGAAATAACGCACCTTCACCTGGAGCATTTGGGAATAGCCCCTCACCGGGATACCAGGCTTGGACACGCAGAGCAGCTCAGCCCCGACTCCCCTGTTTTCCCCCAGCACTGTACACTTTTCCTTTCATCCCAACACTTCTCCTGGGCCTCATTATTATATCTAAATGCTGTGAAATGTCTGTTCTAATCCCAGGAAGTCACAGCCAAAATCAGCAGGTACCGTCTCCACACCCATCCTGGTTTTCAGGTACCGTGCACAGAACCGAAGCCACATGGCTGAGCCACAGTTTTCCAGCTCTCCAGGGAAGGATATCAGGCTGCTGCTCCTTTTCTAACTGGATTTTTAAAACCATATATTGCTCTCGGGGAAAACACCCCAAAGCAAGAGAGACATAACACCGGAAAACCGCTCCAGAGAGTGGGATGATGCCAGCCCTGCCTTCCCGGCCTCCAACCCTGCCAGGGATGGCTGAAACGACCGAACGCCGCAGTACAAAAAAAAAAAAACAAACCAAACTCATCCCAAGCCCAGGGAAAATAACCCATCTCCAAGGCCAGGAAAACCAGTAGGGTTCAGCCCCAGTGGGATTCCTGGGCAAACCCAGCGAGGTGAGCCCTGCTCGGGTTTGGTGCCGCTCCCGTTGCCCGACGCCGAGCTGATCCCACCGGATGGATGGATGGATGGATGGATGAGTGGATGGGTGGATGGATGGGTGGACAGTGGGCCAGCTGGCTGTGGGATGGGCAGTACCTGGGTCTCAGAGAGGCTGAGGCTGCTGGCGAGCTGCTTCCTCTCGGCGCCCACCACGTAGTGGTTCTTCTCGAAGGCCCGTTCCAGCCGCAGGAGCTGTGACGGGGAGAAGGCCGTGCGGATGCGCTTGGGTTTGCGGGCGAAGGGGCCGTGCAGGAGCAGGCTCTCCTGGGATACCTCGCTCCCTGTGGACACAGAGCACGGTCAGGGTCCTGCACCAGCAGCCCCAGCACCAGATCCCACTCTGCGGGTGGGTGTCGGGGTGAT